GTAATGTTATTCATGATATGTGTTTCCGCCTGTTTGATATTCACTATTTAGATTTACCTTCATTTCATTGTTACACTACTCGCCACTATCAAGAATCTTTTATGTTAACAGAGACTGATCAAATTCAACCCTGAATATTAATAACAATAAAATACAAAATTCTAGAGATAGTTATTATTATTATTATTATTATTATTATTATTATTATTATTATTATTATTATTACTATCATTTTACACGCCTTTTCCATATCATTTATTCTTCCAGTTAACTTGGCATGAAATGAAATGGATCCAGTATCTTTACTAATGTCTTCTTATTAGTGTATTACAAAATGAGTAAATATGGATTGTAAAACAACGTTATTTAGACATTTTTGTATATATTATCAAGATGAAGCATCTTTACAATCTAGTCTTGGGCTAGAAATCCCTACTTTGATTGAAAAATGTGGTTAAAAACAAGAGCATACAATAATAAATGTCTTACTATTGGAAAAAGATTATTAGAAAACTTAAGAAAAGGGAGTGGTAATCAATACCAATCATATGGTTGGTCACTAATTTATTTCGAGAGATAAAACTATTTGAAAAACCATAGAAAACTAATCATCGTTTGTCTGGGCTCATAGATAACCGATATCCGACTAAATTTCCACTGATATTAATGTTTCTCAATTATGGTACTTAACCAATCATCTGCATGATTTGTGTATTTAAAAAATGTCCAGTAATTATTCATGTTTTCTTTAAGTAAAGTAAGTTAGGTGAATTGATAAGATAGAAATAAAATGGGAAATTGGTTTTATTTTACAAATGAAAAGATCACTCATGATTTGTCCATAAACAGATTTCTTAATGTCTCTTAAGCATTTTGTATTCTATTTTGAAAATTACAATAAAGTTGACATGTATGGTTAAACTATTACTTACGTTCATGTAATAGTCTCATGGATGCTATCAACGAATTCTATCTGATCATTAACTCTTGTTTAGATTCCTGTGTACCTCTTAAAACGTACAGGTGTAGTAAACCTTACGAATTATATATACCAGCTAAATATCGTAATAAACTAAAACGCCTACAGAATTGTTATTTTAAGTCAAACGACTTCACAGCAGTTGTACAAATAACAATAATTTTTAATCCAATTAAAGAGAAACATAGGTTAAAAGCCATTAATGAGGAGCTGTTAGCACTTAATACTAACTCGAAAATATAAAACTTAACTCTCCTTTTCAATAACCGCATTAAAGCAACTCGAAATGTTGATATACCGTGCATGCAGCATAATAGCACTTTTATATACGACTCTAAAACCATGGCCGACCTTTTCAGTAGTATATTCGCGAATGGTGTAGAAAACATAAGTGGCTATGCTTCAAGAGTTATGTGCGTGACTAGCAACTCAATAAAATCTATCTCCTTCACATGCATGAAAATTAATAAGGCTATAAATACCCTTAGGCTTTCGAGAGGTCATGGAGTAGACGGGATTTTATCCTTTCTCTACAAATGTGGTGGTCCAGATATTCCACTTCTTCTTCTAAAGCTGTTTACTCTCTCTGTGGAAACCGGTTCTTACCCTTACTGTTGGAAAACCGCGTACATCATACCACGTTACAAATCTGGAGATAAGACTGACATGAACAATTACCGGCCAATAAATATTACTCCAGTTATTTCTAGGATTATGGAAAAAATTATAAGTGATGAACTTTCCAACTATTTGCTTGCTGGAAAATTTATCAATGATACTCAACATGGATTTCTTAAAAATCGTTCTTGCATGACATGTCATTTTGACTTCTTTAATTTAGTCTATTCCCTACGTAGCCAAGAATATCTAGTCTTAGCGCTATATCTTGACATTTCTAAAGCCTTTGACATGGTTAGCCACCAACTTCTTATAGGTAAGCTCGCATATTATGGGTTCAAAATCCTTTGCTTGCTTGGTTTGATTCCTTTCTCAGCAATCGACATCAAATAGTTAAAATTAACTCTTCATTGTCTAACGCTGTCCCTGTTAGAAGTGGTGTAATACAAGGTAGTGTCTTAGGTCCTTTGCTTTTTTAGTGTTTATCAATGATATTTGTGAAAGTTTTTGTGTCGGTAAGCCCCTTCTATACGAAGATGATCTTAAGGTAGTGTATTCATTTTCTCCACATGAGCTGAAAAATATGCAAAATTGCATCAGCATGGAGCTTAACAAGGCAGCACAGTGGTGCTTAAAATGGCAACTGGAGCCTAATACGGCTAAATGTGGATGGATATGCTTCGGCGATACATCACTCAACCTAGACATTACCATAAATGGAGAATTGTTATCTAGGTTACATACAGTAGTAGACTTAGGACTTAGATATTCCCAAGACTTATCGTTTACTGAACATATATTAAAACAGACCTTTAAGTCTCAACGTCTAATAGGTTACATAACTCGAAATCTTTACAACAATGAGTCACGTATTCTAATGTACAAAGTTTGTGCTCGACCTCTTCTAGAATATTATACGTTTATTCTTAGCAGTGCGCTCATAAAGGATAAATTAAGGCTGGAATCTGTACAGAGACGATTTACACTTCGTATTCTTGGAGCTGATTGTACCTCAACTTATAATTGTAGATGTAATAAACTTGGGCTAGACCCTTTATGGAGGAGGAGACTCAAACTAAATCTTGTCTTTTCCTTCGAACTACTTCATAAACTATCGTTTACATCCAATCACGCGATTCAATATACAGAAACTTCTCATTATGACATCCGTAATTCCTTGGCACTAGTGAAACAAACTCATTCTAAATCATCTCTTTATATGAATTACTTCACCTGTAAATTTTCTAGACTCTGGAATAACCTACCACAATCTATCCGCACGATAAAATCACTCCCATTATTTGTTCACTGCATTGATGCATACTGCTCCTCTGGAAATGTATTGAATGGTCTAGCGCCTTTAAGTGTATCTCATTCCACAAGTGATATTTTAGGAACCTTAAATGTTTAGCCATCTTTATTAGTGAATTCCCTAAGTAAAACCATCGACTTGCTGTCAATATGTTAACACCGCCCCTAGGAAGTTTAACTAATTTGAATAATATAAACAGTGTATCACTGTGTCACATGACACACGCATTTTGGTAGACTTGATTGACATATTTTGGTAATTACTGCTTTATTTTTCCGTGCGCTGTGTTTTCATTTTAATTTCTCTAGTTGTAGATAATTATCATTATTTCGATCTGGCACACGAATTGACCTTAATTACACCGTTCATAAATCAACAGGTTATCCATTTAAGAAAAATTAAAAATTCCCGGCTGATGCATAGGATCTCAGTAATATATGTACTACTTGCACAACTACTGAACTAGTACACTTAAAACTTTCTTTTATCACATGTTTGTTCTACACGTCTAACGTTACTGTTTATATCAAATTGATCATGTCTGTAAACTGGCATGAATTCTGTAATTATTATTTTTCAGAATATAAATTATTATATTCTGTGGAGTAATGAACATACACTGAAATTCCTTAAAATATTTACTTCTTACTCTCAAACTTATTCAATACATGAAAAGGTGTCGCTATTTCATCCATTGTCATGATTATATAATTACTGAGTGATTTCACATGACTGTTTATTCTAAAAAAAAGGTTAGAGTGATAAATAGATTTTTGTTTTCTAGAAGAAAACTCTTCAAATAATGAACGTCATTCTAATTTTATTCACTTGGTAGTTATTCCTTTTTTCTACTATTTCTTTAATAAATCTTTTAACTACCATTTTGAAATAATAAGAATAAATGAAACTAGGTTATATATTTGTTATTGTCATTATTATTATTATTTCTATTATCTTGGGAATTTTCATTCAAAAGGAACAATTATCTTTTTTTCAAAAAACAGAGAAGAATATAAACAAATCAAATATAAAAACAATCAATGACAAGTAATTACAAAAAAAGTAAAATACAACTAGAAAAATAAAGTGAATTATAATCAAAAATTCTTATCTACTTGATCCATTAACTTTCCTCACTCATCATAATAACTATTACATTCGATCCAATCAAAACAATTTAGTGTTTATACATTATATTAATATTACTTAACTGAAGGGAAAAGATCATTTGTTTAGGGTTTCCTCCATAATTTACCCGTCTATTCATTTACTGATTTTATTTTTCTTGATGGTTAGTTATTTTTATTTTTTTAGAATAGTGATATACTTCTTTTAAGATATATATATATATATATATAGTTATCACTTATTAAATCTTATTCAAATTTTAGTTTTTATTGCATTTTATTAGAAATTTTATTTATCTAGGATTAAACATTAGAATGTTGTAATCGATATAGTTAAAACATTAATCATACATTATATTTAAAGGTTTATGTATACATCTATCTGATATGAAATGAACTAGACAATTACAGACAATCTAATAAAAGAATTCAACCAATATTTCAATTTTTCTCATCCCTTAGGACAAAAAACTATATTTCCTTTTCTTCAAAAGATTACACAATAATAGATTGTTATTTATATGAGTTGGAAATTTCAAATTTCAAACAAGCTTAATTCAAATTGTTTTCAGAAGGGGTTTTGTGGAGATTTTGGAGATTTCACTGGTTGAAATCATGAGTCAATTGAAGCTAAACCACCATGGAAAACCTGGAAATAGTTAATTAACAATATCCAACAGCATATACCGAAAATGATTGTAATTCTGAACATTTTGTGCGTACAAATACATGTATATTCTCATTCATAATAAGTTCAATTAAATTAAGATAGGGGATAAACTTGTTGTTACAAGATTATTTTTGTGTTTTTAAATTATTTTCTATGGTTTTATTAATAATCATTAATATCATTATTGTCAGAATTGTTGTCGAATTAAAATACATCAGTGGTTTTATTGATTTTCTCTGATATCGATTCTTTTATTTATTAATATAATATTTGATTTCGTTAACCTTTTTTTAGTTCGTGAATTACTTAGCAGTGGAGTCTGTCCAGATGTAGCCAACGAGGATGGATTAACAGCATTACATCAGGTAATCTATTTATAAGTTGAACATTATAGAAAGATTAGTCAACAATATATTTCTTATTGATTAACATATTACTAAAGGAATTATCAATTATAAGTTGATTGTTTATCAACCAAACCAATTGTGATTTTATTTATCTAACAGTCTACCCCCAACTAATACTTATTAATACTAAGATAATAGGGCTTAAAATTAAATCCTAGCTACTAAATACTGTGCATTACATCATATTCCTAGTAATCTATGTTGAAACGACTGTAATAAAGTGACGGGTTTATGCTTTATACTTTATTTCGGTAGTCTACATCAATGTGTTGCACTTGTGAATCTGTCGATTTAATATCTGTCGATAAATATGCTACAACAGTAACCTAATTTTTGCTAGTACGAATGTGTAAAATCCAATTAAATTATATTGATTATTCTCATATTTCAGATTATATAACATTCATTTTAAATTGCTGTGAGTTTGTCATCAAAGTTCACCAATCTACAAACTTCTACTTTATTTCCGATCATTGAAATGAGTCTTATTTACATTTATTATACTAGATAAACTTAATAACTAAAACAACTCTTTTGTAATAGGTATTCAGTTTCTTAGTTATTAGTTGGAACGACATCTGTCTACTTAGTTTCTCATACAAATAGAAATATCACTTATTTGATAGAAAGTGTCCGTTATGTATATGCAGAATGGTAGTGGGGACAGGGTGAATTGTAACTATCAAACCATTCTATTCGATCTTTTTTTTAAAAAGTATTTTGCTAAAATTAAATTATAAATATCCATTTTTTCTGAAATTATTCGTTATCAGTGTTGTAAAATTGGCACAACCACGAATTATGTTTAATAATATATAAATTGAGGAAGTACTGTTAAGTATTGGAAAATCGAACCTGATTATATTTCCTGTTTACTAAAATTAGAAGATAACCGGAAAAGTAAACATATATTCTAGTGCAGATACATAAAAAACGCTTACAAACACTATTACCCTAAAATTTATAGTGCGTAATATTTCCTCTGTTACTGTCACCGAATAATTCTGTGTAAAGCCATCATAATTATTTATCATAATATTCGACTTTATCACCTTCATCTATTAACGAAAATAACTGAGAAAGACAATTCAGAGTTTGAACTGATTCAATTTTAGTTATATTTTGTTTTGTTCATAAATCGAAATGTTTGCATATGATTGTTTTTTAACCCAGTTTAGTTAAAAGTACTATTTTGAGTACTCTTATATATGATATTTTTATGCTATTATATAACCTCTTAGATTTATAGTATTTTAAAGAGTATTTTTCATGATTATATATTATGATTAGTAGTAGTTGAGAGGTAAAAAGTGTGAGAAAATCAGAGTCTTACGTCGTTTAGCCCGTCATTTATCACCTGAAAAAATCGTTAGTCAAAATACCAACGTATGCAACCTTGGCCTTGTGTCAAAGCAATGACGCGTTAACCAGCACAAGCAGCCTAGAGTCAACTCTGAGTTATTGTTGGTCCTTCTTGTTCTGCTATGCCCGTTGAGTCAAGAACGCAATCATAGATTCTACTGTATGAATCATGTATCTAAGACATAAACAGTTTATATACGAGCAAACTAGACCGCATCACACCATAAAATAAAAAATGACAATTATACAAGATCAAGCCAAAAGTGATTGTGTGTCTGAGAGACTACAATAAATAAATCGGCAATAAGTTAAGAATGGTAAATCGTATCGCAATAGCCAGTAAATCAAATAAAAGAATACGAATATATATATATATATATATATATATATATATATATATATATATATATATATATATATATATATTGCTACTTTATATTTATCCAATAAGGCTATATGTAATAGTAGCTCATAAATAATCCCTAGCAGTTACCATTCATTTGTTGTTTGTTAGGATACAACACAGAGGAAAGGAAAAAATAGAACCTGTTTATGCGCACGAAACATGATATTTGTTGTTTGATCAGTGCAATAAATAAGTGAATTGAGGTCGTTAAACAAAAGTTCCTCATATATCAATCCCTCTCTGTTTTAAAGTACTTTTCGTGTGCATCAATGAATATATTTTATGTTTGTTTCCAATATCCAAATATTAATACATATTAATAGTTTATCATTACTGAATTCGGTGTCAGTCAATTCTTTTTTTTTCTCTTTTTGAATAAACGAATAACTGATTTTTCTCTATCTAGGTCTATATTTCAGTTTAGATTCCATACAAAACGTCCAATTGCGTTTCATTGTTATTCAGAACATGTAACTATGAAGATATGTTTATGACATGACGATAATATTTAATAAATCCAGAAATAATACACAGTATTCTGTATTATTTAATCTATCGATTTTTGATTTAAAGTTTACAAAAAAAATACCAAAAGCACAGAATCTGACAATTAAAAAAGTGTACTTTCAAAATGAATAAATTTCTAAAACACGAAATTAGTACGTATATTATATAAATTTAAAAGGAATAAAATGATTTGTGAACAGTAAACATATGTAGCTAACTTTGATAACATAATACATTGATTTGAGTAGGAAACAAGTAATGTTTATATCTATGTTATTGTAGTTAAAAGTACCACAGTAATTCGATAACGTACGCGGAAAAATAATTGAATGTAATGGCATAAGAAATATGAATCAGATATTTTACATTCTTTAAAAGATCTTGATATTTAGCATTCTGTGTCATATGTTGTAGGACTTAAAAGCTTTCTTTTCAGTGAATAAACAGTATACTTGATTTTCTGTATAGTAACCAAGTTTCAGTCATTTTTCAAAATCATGTGTGACACACTTCTATTCTTCATTGTTGTTATGATTACTAAAAAGTTCTGCTTTATTCAAATATAAGATTGCATATATTCACCAATATTAAATTCTATGGTAAAAAACTGGACAGTTATTTAGTGCATTGTTTTTTTTTTATTTGCATAAGACGCCAGTATATAATGATAATTACTTTCAAAGCGACATAATTCTAAAACGAGAAAAACAATATCGCATTTCAGTTTGATAACCAAAGAAACTTATTGTATTTTCGAAAAAAAACCAAAGACAGGTTAGAGAAGGCAATTTTTTCAGTAATATCATTAACTAAGCCTGCACAATTAGAATAAAGAGTGTTATTGGGTCATGAGTTACACGGGAATACCAAATATCGAAATGAGGTTATGCAATGCTATAACGATTAATGAAAATAATGTTGAGATACAAATAGTTGATTAATGATAGATAACTGTTCACTTGATGAATGTTATGAACTAAATAATAGTAGTTAATAAATGATTATAGCAAAACTAGAATATCATCACTATAATAGATTACTGAGTATGGAAGATAGGCAGAGAAGTTAAGACCACAGTAGAATGAGTGATTGAACATAGTACATTTGTACAAATAAGTTAATCTTCAATTGGTCGGTTTCTAAAGCTTCTGTTTTAAGTATGTTTAAAGTAACACAACTTCCTTTTTGATATTTTTAAATAATTCATTGTCCAATGCCGATTTATTTTTAACAGACTGCCATTTACATATATTATGCCAGTAAAAATGTGACTTAATAGCCTTAGTAAGCAATATCATTGGAAAGAAAATTCCCTTTTCTGAATTGATTTTAATTCTACACAGATGAGATCTATAGTGTTATCGTGACATTTTTACTAATTGTCTATAGGCTAATGAAGTTTAATGAATTCGGAAGATGTAATTAGGCATAGGTTAGACAGTATCATAGATGATAGTACCAGTTGCGTAATGAATAAACAAATGATTGCTGGATTCAAATCTAAATAGAAACAATTAATCCTGGTAGGTAGTTTTATTCAAGCGATAAGTCTCGAAAAAGATAAAAGTCACTTCTTAAATCTCACTTTTGTCCCCTTATTTACTCAGAAATTTTACACAGTTCGCCATTCCTGAATAATGTACAATTGTTTCTCACTCAGTTTATCAAACGTTTTCCACAACCACACTGCATATTATGAAAATAGAAAATACTCATTAGAAAAGAAATATTGTCACGAAATATCTCTGCTTTATATTAATTTATCCGCCCCTTTTTTAGATTTTTCGCTTGTCATTATTTCTACCTATTAGTTCAAGATAATTAATTTTATCAGAGAAAAAACTATAGTTTGAATTATTGTTTTATCATGCGAAGAATTCTCTTCTAAACAAATAATAATAGAAAAGTCCTTGAATGTGCTTGATGTGAATATTGATCAGTATCGAATGAAAGCATTAAGGAAACGATATATGATATATAATCTCTTTTGTTTAATTGTACTGACCTAGTAACTCCTAAGACATTTTGAAAATAAAATATAGTTTTTGAAAAATGTTTCAAGACACAGGAATTCAACTAATGTTTACTATCATTAGGGTCTGCCTGATATCTTTTGTTGTTATGGCTTAAATTCAAATGAAACTGTAAACGATTATTCAGAGTAAATATTGTAGTGAACATCATTCAACAAGATTCAAACAGCCAATTATTGAACTAAGTACTTAAGTGGTTGATGCAATGGCGTTTGAAGCGAACGGTACTGGGTTCGAATCCTGTTATGAACATGAAAGCTGAGATTCAAGGTCATCCAGTTGATGGGTCCCGGACAGAATGAAACACGCATCCTGGATTCTACTGCTAGGCACTAGTAATATCTGCTTACATTACTTGTTACTTAAGGCAATATCGAAGTAATCTGCACTGGATAAAGATTTGTTGAAAAAAAAACACTGATTAATCACAATCCTAAACATCAGTCTGAAGATTCAGACAAACAATACAAGTGAACATAATTCACTTAAAACAAAATCTGCATCCAAATATCAATAAATCACTACAGATAGATATCATAAATATTTTGTAGTTCAATCGAAATAAAATAAGTCTAATGATTCATGCAATTATATCAAATTCTCGCTAGATTTATGATGGTTCTATTATTTCGCTATATATATATATATATATATATATATATATATATATAATGAATTCGTTTTGTTCCCTCAGCTGTATGGTTTGGTTGTGGAGCTCTCATCGTTCATCTGAACGACATCATCAGTACAAACTTCAGGTAGAAGTTGCATTATTACAAAAGGTTTAATATATTCTATTAATAATTAGTTTGTTAATATTTCGAGCTTATTCTGATAAGAAAAATAGTTATGTAACAATGAATGTTACACATTAATAGTTGGTATGAGTTAAATACATAAATGCTTTAATAATGAAACCAATAGGTTGACAACAACGTTATCGCGTATAAAACATTTTACTGTGGTAGGTAAAAGGTCATTTAATTCGATATATATATATGATGAGAATCAGTATGATTTATGCTCCAATAATTGAGATAGGTATCACCTTCCGTTTATTTGTTTTTACGAAAAGTTTACAAACAACTTTTATTTAAACATTACAAAAACAAATAAAATAGATTTTCTAGTTACTTTATTAACTTTTATGTTCTTTCGTTTAAAAAAAACAAAAAAATTTTTCAGTGTTGTATTGATAACAATTTGGAAATGTGTCGGTTACTTCTTCGATATGGAGCAAATCCTAATTCTCGTGACACAGAACTATGGACTCCATTACATGCGTCAGCTACATGTCATCATACAGAGATGTGTAAAATTCTAATTGATCAGTAAGTTACAGTTATATTTTGGTTTAATTTTTTTTTACGATTTGAATAATTTATGAAGTGGGACGGAAAGGTTTCATGGAGTTAGGTTAAAGCCTTTTGGTTAGATGCACTGAGCAAATTTGTCGTCTTGATTTAAGTGAAGGAAAAAAATCGAGAGAATTGTCTTTAATAAATTAGTCAACATGAAATTATCTGCATGCCTGAATGTATAACGTGCAAATTATCTTACTTCACTTATGATATTTGCATCACTCCCAGTGTAGCTGAATCTCACCATTCAATACTTCCAACCAGAACACATTCCAAAGCATATTACAAAAAAATGATCATATTTCCATTGAGATTTTGATGGAGATTGGCTTATTTCAGTTAAGAAGATACGACATCTTTGAAGTTTCCTACCTAAGTCACAAATCGTTTCCATTATCTCACTTCTATCTGTTAGGTTACGGATAATAGAAAGATAATTTGCCAAACTTATAAGATAGAAAAGAAGTAATTATACAATCAACACTTTATCTTCAGCGATCCTTCAGCTAATATCGACAGTTGATTGGAATATATCTCCGTCGGTATAACCTTGCTGATTTGTTATCCTACAGTTACGAAAGTTAATCATAAGAAGTATTATGTCTTGAGACGCTAAGCAACATCACGTGATATAATGCTTAAACAAAATTCGGATTACTGATTGGTTTGCCGATATCTCTATAAGAACCAGTGACCTAGGCATCAATTGACACAGTAACCAATTAACAACAACCAGGACCTTTATGCTTGTTGTCTTCAAACTCCTAATCCATTTCTCAATCAGAAAATGCAAACTAGAAGTAAACTATTTCTCTATGGTATTCAATATAACCATAACTCAAAACCCATACTTGGAAAGCCTGATCGTATAAGAAACCGTGTTACAAAATGTCATATCATAAATGGTAGGGAGCGTAGCAAACAGTAAATTAATGATAATTAAAAAATATTAATGCACATAAAAATGGTCAATAATTCCAGTGAACTCCTGCAGTTATTTTGATTATATATATATATATATATATATATATATATATATATATGGACAATAAGAATGAATACTGATTATGTGAATCCATTAGCTTCTTTCCAAATATCCTTTTTACGCAGTAACTAATAAGTAAACTAACACAAATTATAAAATATCTGGTCATGTGTTCGATGTATATGAAAGCCATTTATTTTACTTTTTATGGTACTAAGGTTTGATTGATTGATTAATGAAGAGGAAAAAAAGAAACAAATTGAAAATAAAATAATTTTTTATTTGATAAATATTTATATCAATAGCTGAAATCATGAGTTAATTGAAGCTAGAACACCATGGAAAAGCTGGAAGCACTGGACGGCCGTTTCATCCTAGTATGGGACTCCTCACCAGTGTGCATCCACGACCCCCCGCGAGATTTGAACCCAGGACCTATCAGTGTCGCGTGCGAGCGCCTAACCATTAGACAACTGAGCCGACATCCAACGGTGTTAATGTCTAACCTCAACCAATCCACAAAATTGCGCAACCGTACACCATTTTCTTCAGTGAGTTACTATCTCACAACAGACCTGATTGAACTCCAGTGGTCACAGCTTCTCACTAGAACTCCAGGAAATGCCTCTTGGAGTCAGTCACTAGTGAGCAGATGATTATTATCAGAAGGGGTTTTGTGGAATCTCGCGGGGGGCAGGGTCTTGGATGCACACTGGTGAGGAATCCCATACTAGGATGAGACGGCCGCCCAGTACTTCCAGGTTTTCCATGGTGGTCTAGATTCAATTAACTCATGAGTTCAACTATTAAAATTACGTAAATCTCCACAAGACTCCTTCTGAAACAATTTATATTTTTGTTAAGTTTTAGTAGAAAAAAATGAACACTAGATCAAATAGAAAAGAAAACAGATTAATAGTATTTGACAAATTTTTAAAAATAAAATGTTAATATAAACCGAATACATTAGAAGAGATTAATAAAAATGTATTGTCATCAATATTGTGAACCAATAATATTAAATAATATTCTTAAGTGCTTCATTGAATGTATTTGATCCATAGTGATTCTGTTCCCAGATTTAACTTTGTTCTTTTTTGGTGAGTGAATAGTATCATTAGTATACACTTGGAAAGGTGAGATTGAAGTTGGATTAAATGAATATTATATAAATGAAGATAGTTGTTATGAAATTACAGAAGTAGAATTCGTGTTAGTTCACATTCATCAACAAAGTGTACCTGAAATCTTGTGGAAACTGATAGTCTTAAATGTGTTAAATCAGCATATCCTAAATTCATAGTTTAAGGTGTTGCTATGAACAAGAACACAGGTGAAGACGGTCGATTTATTATTTCAACACAATCATTACAGAGTTTTTTGGTAAACTGTTAAAACCATACACAGAATACCTTTTTTGCAAATTTCCATTATTCGTTTTTCACATTATGTATGATTCTCCCAATTTACAATTCCTTTCTAGTTCCGTTTCTGTTCTCTTCAGTTCGATTTTCTTAGACTTCTGCTGCAAGATTTTTCGCTTATTTATGTTTCGTACTACTTAAGTTGACAGATATAAGTGTGATACCCCCCTATATTATTTAGTTATCTAAATAACCACAGAACGTCATAGATAAGATGTAACTGAAGGTTTGTTACTTAAATCTTGAGTTAGATTAAATTAAATCAATTATTTTCTTCTTTCAATATAGAATACGATTATTAGAATTCCTGCACTAATGTTAAATGCCTTTCTGACCTTCGAACAAATTATCGACCTATTTTTTGTAAAATGTACTTATGATCATTTTTTTTGTAACTGTGATAACAGAATAAACTACTATGGGACAGAAATTAGATAGAGAAATAAAAAATAATGTTGGCAATTAGCTAATTTTTGTTTTATACAAGTAAATATACTTACATTTTTATACTTAATTACATTTTCATAAATAAATACATTCTAGTACAAAACAATAAAATACACATATATATGTAAAATATAAAATTCTGAAAAAAAATAAAAACGGATCAAAATATTTTTATATTCCGTTTTTTTCTTTTTTTTCCTTTTGGAAAAGTTTTTTGCAATTTTTTTCTTGAAAATTAAAAAAATTTTTTTCTAAAACTATTTTAACTTTGTCAATATTTTCAATGAAATTTATTAATATTTCCAAGTGTAATATTAATGATTATCAAAGATCCATTGATGAATGTGAAGTGGTAATTTGTTGTTTAGTATACTCGACTTTCAGTCGATCGATTACAAATTCGAATTGTAATTCGTTTATTTTAGCTTGGACAGCAATACCGCTCATAACAAAAATTGTGTAGCTTTAAACTGAGTTAATAAACTTTTTACTTGGTAAATTAGCAGCAAAAGGATAATAATAATAATATGGAGTAATACCTTACTAAGCCATACCATGTACCATTGGTGAAATTCTTAGCCTGTGATACCGGTTAGCTAGTAATATTTTATGTAAACCAATAATTTATTGAAATTTTTATCATCTGTATTGGTGTGTGTTAGTTATTCGAAATTCCTAAAAGAAGATATGCGTCTGTTGTTTGATTACATTCTATCATCAATAATTTTCCTTCTGGTACACAGTGGACACATTAAGTTGCCAACATCATAATCCTATAAATATGACGATAGTATATGTTTACAGATAAGCATGACTGATTGAGGGAAAGTGAAAATGTAAACCACTGGATGTTACCTCAGTGGTCTGAAGGTTAAACGATCCCTAGTAGGCCTGAATATAATAGGTACAGTGGTATGTTCCTTCTACTAAGGAACTCTGACGAAACAGCTGTTCAGTACTTCTTGATTTTCAATGATCGTCTAAACAAAGCCAGCCAGTGATATAAAACTGCCAATCGAATTTAGTAATTTTACTTGAGTTAATATTCAAAATGTTCTTGATGGTTGTCAAATATTTGTTTATCTTGAAAAATTAAAGAAGACAGATCTAATGATAAATACCGATTTAACTCCTAATATATTTCATTTTATGTTTTTAATCATTTTCTGTAGCGGTGCAGATCTACTAGCTATGAATGTTGATGGTAATATGCCTTATGAATGTTGTATGCCTGGACCAACACTGAATTTAGTAGAAACCGAAATGGATAAAAGAGGTTAGTTTTTTATTGACCGGAAATTCATAAATCGTTTACGTCACAAATCGATACTGATTGTGATACCATTGAATAATGTAGAATATTAAACATTGTGTAACTACATAGTAGTATACGTTCATGGTCTTGTCATGAACCCTCATTTTTCCAGGCAGTAATTCTTCAGATTATTAATTTGGAATCCACTGATCCAAACTTTTAATCGCATCTAATTCACGATAAAACGCAGCAATCATGTAGTGCCTTTAGTGTTCAACTTCCTTACTCTATATATAAATGAACCCTGCTAGTCAGAGATTAGTCTCTAAAGCAGTCACTTCTGAGCTAACAATTATAATTTCCTATAAATCCTTTGTGGTAATTGATTTGATTCATACTATTCTTCACAAACTCTGTATCCAATAAGAAATTTGTACTAATAATATTATGTCATCCCTTTCATTTCCCGATTTCGCTGTATGTTTCTTAAGAATTAGTTTTCCTATGCTTTATTTTTCACTCACATAAACGTTTTATCAACTCTAATTATTTCTCACTTCGTTATGTTGACATGATATTAGTAAACTTGAACTAATAGACATCTATGCCAAGTTCTTTATTCTATAAGAATAACCAATAATTCTTGGATTTTAATAGTACTTCAGCTATCTTCCGCTCATGATGTGAATTTGTCTGATCATTACAATATCTCTATATTAAGATCTTAGATAAATAAATAAAGAATATTGTTTTCCAATAAGTTTTCATCAGCTTCTGATGTTTTAAGTCCAAATTAATTTTCCAAACAGGATAACTAAGTCTAAAACAAATACATATTTTCAAATTTTAGTGTGACCGCGGTGCCCAAGGGAAAACTGCTTAAGGTTGATCACACACCTTTTTATGAGTAATTTTTGAATTAGCTCTTAACTCTTGAGACCTTAGCGCCGGAGATGGATATCCGTGAGATAAGGCAAGGTGTGCATTTTTGTGGTCGACTTTTACTAACCCCACTCCTCCTTGTGGGAAGGCAGCATCGCTGTCATGCTGGTTGTTTAAAGAAAACACCTAACTGCTGTCAAACCTCTTTACAGTCAGCAGCACGACTTCGCCTTCGGACCTTGGGTTGGTTGCTTTTAGTCTTACCGCTCTTCAATCAACCTGTCTGGCATGGTAGGACCTTGAGCAACGGTTTTTCCAGCCAGTGTAATCCGGTTGCCTCATCACGATAGGCAAGCCCGACCACCACGTCAAGGTAGCAACAACGGTCTGTGATTGAAAGGCATACCTCAGAAGTACATAAATCTTGTAAAGGCTCTTTACTCGAACACTACTAATCCAGTCAGATCTTATGGCGAACTGTCATCGATTACTACAACGTGCAATACTGACTAGTGTTGGGGATGGTTGGAAGAGAATTAGGGGCGGCCAAACCAAAACGTGGCATCAGTGCTTGAAGTCACTAACCTCTAGTCTTAGCCATGTTGGTAGATGCAGACTACTTGGTTGGGGTCCGCTTGACTATCGTAACCAATGCTTGGAGACTCTTGGTGACATGGCTCAGAATCGATCACAGTGGCGAAGATGTATACACACTCTGTCTTTCCTTAAACTAAGAGATTAAGATCACTTCATATCTTTCTTTCTACGAATTAATTCTTTCTTCCTGCACCATGTCCTTATATGCAATCTTTCTTTTATATGTTACCACCACTGACTTAACTATTTCTATGAATCCGGTGTTCATCTTGTTGTGCTAATGAGGTGTGGCAACTTGGACCGATGAGTATATGTGGTTGGTCCTACGTTGTAGCTGACTGACTGAATGTTTGCACTTAGTGATTACTTGAACCTGTCCTTCACTAAAAGTAAACAAATAATTTTGAATCGTAACCTTATTGTTTGAAATTTATCTCACTCGTCTAGAAGAAAAATACAGTTCCGATTATTTATCGATCATTAATGACTATTTTTTAAGTAATAAAATCTGTGTACCGTCTACTGGTCTACTTGGATTGACTACACTTAAATCATAAGCTCTACTTCCGTTAACAATGTACATTATTGGTAACTATAAAGATAGTATTTTATTTTTTGTCATTCAACTATCACCCCACTAAAAACCAGATAGATTGACAAATGAGTACTTACTTATACATAAAGTGTATAAAATACTAAATTTTACGGATGAAATTATCTCCATCATTAATTTATCTTGCTATCAAATAAATCTTGGTCATCGATAAGGTGTTCCTAATTGGTCAATATAACAAATGTAAACTATGGCTATGTGATCCGATTCAAACTAAAAACACCCATCCTAATTTTGTTCCTTCAAATCAAATAATTCTATACGATAATTCATCTGTAATTGTTTTTTCAATAATGTCAAACAATTGCAAAATGTCAGATGGCTTTTGTGGATATTATAGTAATTTCAATTGTTAAGATCATGAGTCAGTCGAAGCTAGACCACCATGGAAAACCAGAAAGCACTAGATGGCCATTTCTTCCTGACCTGGGACTCTTCAACAGTGCGCATCCACTATCCAGCTCATCGGATTCGAACCCAGAATATTCGAACTCGTGCACGAACACCCAAACTCTGAACCACTGAGCCGGCATCTGCTGATGTTAATGTTTCGCGCGAAAGACCGAGAGTCTTGGGTTCGAATCCTCAGAGCGGGAACGTGGATGAGCACTGCTGAGGAGTTCTATACTAAAACGAAACGGTCATCCAGTTCTTCCAGGGTTTCTGTTGTTTTCTAGCTTTAATTGACTCATGAATTCAACTATTAAATTACTACAATCACCATAAAGTTCTAGTGAGAAGTAGTGACCAGTGGAGTTCAACCAGGTCTGTTGTGAGATAGTAACTCACTGAAGACAGTGGTGGATGTGTCGCTCAATTTCGTGGATTAGTTGAAGTTAGGCATCAACACCGTTGGATCTTAAGCATCGATATTGTAAAATGGCTTGTTTTAGCTCACTTAGTACAAACTTTCAAGCATTTTCGTGTTTATTTACCTATTCTATGACTATACTGATTTGCTAAGAATGTAGTAGTTCATATAGCACATCCTTTTCAATACCTTCTGTTAGATAGATAGAATACGTAATTAGAAATTGAAGAAAAACTGTCTAGCTATGTGTTTTCAGGTAAACTAGGCTACATCAAATAACTTGTTAATAAGAGAACAGAAAATGTAAATTTTAGCTCAATCGATTAAACAAACCTGACATCTTAATAAACAGATAGATAAAAGGTAATATGAGTTTTCCGTGTCTTTGTGTGTGTGGAGTTGCAAGTATGCTGGCTTTTAATTGATTAAATGTTTAGTATTTTGTTTCACGTACTTCATATGTTTGGCTGATTATGTGAGCATATACACACATCATATAATCCACCTTTCTATTTGCTTAACGTGTACACACATTCATACCTTCAAACTTCTAGATATTTATTCATAAATAACTGAATTTATGTGTCTGATGGCTTAATTAAAACACTCAACTGAAAAACGCTAGTTTGTATCGATGATTATTGTTAATCGATTTCGTGGGTTTTATTGAAAATGAGCCATTTTAGATTAAATTTCATAAAAACAGAATGTTGATACGGTTTAGACGGTAGTCATATGCGACGAAATTCACTACCTAAATGATTATTTTCTGATTCGTGTACACATCTATACCAGTTAGGAAACTTATACTGTATTATAGTAGACACTTTCGATTTATCCCATGAAGTGATTTTTTGAGGACTGATTGAAACCATAATACACTAAACAATCGTTTCCTTCTGATTTGAAACTATTCGGAAAAAATGCACCAAAAATCCAACCAAGAGTTTAACTTTAAAACTCTTAGAGAGCTCCTTGCAATTAAACCACTAACTTGAATTCACTGGTCTTAATTTCCAACTTCAATCGGTTCACAGTAAAACGCGACATAATTAAATTTTAACAGTTACAACCAATTATTAAAGTTGGAAAACTGCGGGTCACTGAATTTTAAACATGCGATCTCAACGTAAGGTATTTGAGGCGAAACCTGAATGTCTCAGGTTTTATTTCTGATGGTGACATGGGTAAGCATATCTGAAAAGAACTAAGACCAACCATGTGACTGTCAGTGGCTTCCCAAATGATATCATTTGGTAATGAAAACCGGTCATAAATTACATCTGTCTTCATAACCTCTTGAATAAAACTATTTTGAATTAATGCCAAAAATTTGATTTCCCGATTTGGCTGCACAGATCATCAATGAGTTTCAAACTCAGAAGTACAAGAATTTTCTACGTTTCAGGAACATTTAGTACGTGAACCGCGTTCATGAAACTTGGTTATTTTCCAAAGATTCAATGAAATATGGATTGTTTCAAAAATTTAATTAGTGAATGGAACTATTTAAGATGAAATAAACAGAGATACTGATGCTGTTAAATAATTGGTACTTTCGAAACATTGTTAGAATGTCGAAGGTATGATACTAAATGTAAATGTAAGATAAACTAATGAATAAAGTCATAAAATAGAAATAGATGAAGTATTTATCAATTATACTTTATAAGTGTCGCAAGTTTTCATTCTGACTACAGGAGTAATAAAACAAAAAAGAAGTCAACGCTATTAAGCTTATAAGTTATCAATACCAAGGTTAGACTTGATAGTTCAAAATAAATTGAACATTGGGTTGAAAATTACATATCTGCTCTGAAGAAGTGGCTTACATTAAGTGACGAAACACCAGAAATGCAATTTTTCTACTCATTGGGAAATAACAAAAGAAATACTATCCGGCCTAGTTATAAAACAATCTTGTGGTGATTAATACTTTAGTGTGCTTTCACTGTTTTATTCACGTCTTCTCGGAGCCTTCAACTAGGTAGTTGTTCATCATTAGTTTATACCTGTTTTAATCTATTATAACCGCATAATTACAGACTACACGGTTTAGTAAATAAAAATATGTCATATAAATAACCTAAATTCATTTGAAACAACTACAGATCAGGTTAAAAGGTTAGGTTTCATGATCTAAAAGATAAGTCATTGTGTATAATATTGTGAATATGTGAATCTACTCAACTTATACAAGATAACCATAATTAAAATTAGATGATAAAATAAAACGATATTAGACAGTATTCGAAAATGTGGATAATCTGATTTTTCTCAGTAGTTTGAAAGTATTATGCTCATGACTGTCGAAGTCTGTCAAGAATGCTCATCTCTGAAGAGTCTTTGAACTGGATGAGACAGGTGTTCAGTGATCTCTGATTTTCTATGCTTCTTCAGCTGGAGTCAGTCTATGGCACAAATCTACCTTCAAGATATATGTCTTCATAAAAACACCTAATTCATATACATGTTTTTGCAGCTCTGTTATCAGTAAAGTGATATCTCATGGAAATAAATTTTGTAAACATGTTACCTTTCTAAAATATCCTTTATATCGAAAAACAACAAAAAAGGGGATTAAAATAAAGATTTTGTTAATATATGTATTTCTCTTGTTCTAAAAGGCATAACACAAGAAGAAATAGACGATTGGCATCGGGTGCCAGAATGTGAAATGCTTGCAGATATGGAAGCTTTATACAAAGCTGGTGCAGACCTTGATCGACTAGATGCACAAGGAGCATCTATGGTGGGTAAAGCTAAGTGGCCTTAGTTTAATTAGTTTATATGGAGATGAGTTGATTTTTAGTTAAATTATCATTATCTTTTATAAATGGAAGAATAGGTTTATAATGTACTGACATAAAGTGGTTGACCTATATCAGTTTACAGTTGTTATATATCACATATTCAGAACCTAAGAAACACTATTTTTCAATTGAAAGAATGAAATAATTTTAATTATCTGAATATTGCTACACTTCAGCGACCGAGTGACAAACCAAATCAAAAGCATTTTAATGATGTTACTGGTATTGGAATTTTTCACTGCAGATATGGTACAAAAAATAAAAACCATCATTTTACAGTTAATCGATCCAGATAAACACATTTATTTCTATTACAACATCGAAGCTAATAAACAACTGTAAACTACTACTTAAAACTACTGAGTTATTCATGAATGATTCATATTTCCAACTTCAATGAATTCAAGATATTATTTTTATCATTGATTAAAAGCTCTATGAAATACTTACTATTCAATTAATTCATTGAAATAAATTCTATTTATCAGTTAAATTAATTAATATGAACTTGTGATAAATTACTTCATACATTCTGTTTGCTAATTAGATTTTACCTTTGAGTTATTTGTTCCCAGTTTTGTGTTAGGTTACTTGTGTATATTTGTCGTAGACTATTTTCAAAATAGAAAATCATGATTGTGCAGAGGATAAAATATCAGTAACTTTATTATTGTGTTCACAAATATACAAATCATATTTATATCACCCTCTATAATGAATGAGAACACAGGCGGAGACAAAGTGAATACAACACTACAGAATATCTTAGTAAAATCTGTGAACCATACAGTCATTTGCAAAATGTCCACAAATTGTCTCAGACTTTATCGTTCCTTCATTTCTATACCAATCACTCACTGTTCTCGTTCTCTTCTCTCAGATTTTCTCAACCTTCTACCACCAGACATTTCACTTTCGACTGATGATATATACTATTTACATCTATGGATATCAGTAGCACACATCACACCTCCAGTATAAAATAAGACATCAAGTCACTATCACATGTCTTTTCTCTTCCCTCTGTAATTCACTCACCAGTCACATTATCATTGTTTTTAATTTAAAAAAGGGAAATTATCAAAATTCAATAACCTAAGCTGTAACTGGATTTCCACTTTGTAGTTAAAAAAAGATGAACTGAACAGATCTATTATGATTTGAATATCTTGACTGATTAATCATTATTTAAGTAATTGCTAGGTTTAATAATACTAATGATAGGCTATATCTCATCTCAATTAACATATTACCTATATTCATATGAAAATTATCTTAAAAATGTACTAATATTTTATGTTTCAGTAGTATTTATTATAGTACGATATTATTATTGTTCAATTACGTATACTCATGAACGGTTTACACACTTCTCTTCTTATCTCTCAACAATAAGAGATATTTATAAATGTAAGCTAAAAACAATAATAATACCGATTCCATTGTATACTGTATATCACAGATAAAAATCATGAAGTGATACTAACTATTCTTAATCCTGTAATTTAATTTAACCAATTATACTGATCTCTTTACTTAGTGTTTTATGATTTATGCTTTACAAATTCCCACATATGACTTTTTTATTATTGATTTTCTTCATTTTCAATTCCAAACGTTATGGTCCCAGTTTGTTACTATATATGTACGTCAGATAAAGCGTTATAAAGTCTATGTATTTACCCAATGTCTATAAATGCTTATTCACTCATAGCATATCTTGGCAAAAAAAGTAGAAATTCTGAGTACAACAGACATCACTCAATTGTTTCCATAGGCTCAGAAGTACACCAAATTCTTTAGTCAAAGTTATATGGATAAAAATCTAAAGTATAAGACTTAGATTCATCATAATGGTTGCTACATACGAAAAGAACGTCTAATGACAACAAAGTTTGTTTAAATTTAGATGTCAGTATTATTTAGTGTCAGTGTATATGAAGGTTCAAATAGACCTTTCCGACTGAAGAGTAAACTAAGGTATTCATATGTTTTAGAGTAAGATTAACAGTGACACAAAACATCAGTAAAAATATTTGAAGAATTTTATATACATATAA